TAATTCTGATTTTTTTCTATTTGTATTTGTTAAAACATACACGCCTGATACCAGGGAAATATTGTATCGAATCGAGAGATTCGACGAATGGCGGTATACTCTTTTAACAAAGGAAAGTAAACAAAGGAAAACTAAGACAATAGAACTCAATTACATCCTTGAAAACCACACAGTCACAGTGTAACAGTATTACTGGTTAATGATGATTTTCTGAAATGGCTAACCAAACCACTAAACGGTTTTATATCTTGAAATTCATTTTCTAAATAAAAACTGCACTTCTACTTCCTGGAAAGTGCATCGCGTGTTTTCTTTTTGTTGTTTTCCAGACATATCACTTGCATGTGTGTCTTAACAACAATATCAAGTAATTTTGTAAGTAATTTGGTTAGAAGCAGTATAGTTATGGATCAGAAGCCCGCAAAACCGTTCGTCAATCCTGAAGGATATTTAGTATATGTAGTGTATTACTGATAATATTCAAAATATCAGAATGAGGTCTCTATGTAGCTTTTTTACGTGCCAACTGAGTACAATAACAGGCGGACACCGCCCTCACTACAGGCGGCTTGCAGATCATGTCTAATGAAGGAGTGTTGCTTTATCATTTAAATTGACGTACAAAACTTTCTAAGAAGCGTTGATTATTCCCTTCTCATATGAAAAGTCGAAAGCGCAAGATGAGCTATAGGTTATAATAAAAAAAGTAGAGTTGAAATCATAATACCCTGGTTAATAAACAGTGTTGCTTCCTTCCTGCGCCAACAATTGGTTTTGAAAAAGATAAGCAATAGACGTTTCTACCTTAAGTCATTAGTGTCTTTTCAAAGTATTATGCCTATTGTATCAATGGCTTGTTTAATGTACATCCCATGATACTCAATCAGTATAAATACCTCCGCCCCTTTGTGTTTAACTTCACTTGGAGAACTACTTGGCTTCAGTATGTACGTGTTCTTTGCTGCTCTGGTTTTGGTCTTTGCCGTTAGAGGGGAATCTAATGCTTCCTTCAAAAGGAAGGGTAAGAGAAATTTGAACAGCTTAAGGCTTTTAATCATCTTTTAACTAGTCACTGGAAAAAATCGCGCGCTTTAAAGGTTGTAAATTTGGTGTAAATATAATGTAAGTGTCCAAAATTCTGTAAATTAAATGGAAATCATTTACATCAAATTTACAGAATTTTGGACACTTACATCATATTTACATCAAATTTACAACCTTTAAAGCGCGCGATTTTTTCCAGTGAGTAGAAGTATCCACGTACGAAAGAGCTGAATAAGTCGTACTGGCGTTTATATTTAGTCTATGTTATAGTACGGAGTTTTCAAGTATTCAGCATTGATAGTTTATTTTTAAAACGAAACGTCCGAAACGTCAGTAAGTTATTTTTATTTCACATACTTTTTTTACGGTGTTAAATTTATCTTTTTACACAACTGTTTCTTTAGAAACACCGACGCAGCTCACACTAGTTTACCGCTAGTCCCCACCACCTCTTTTTAAAACTGACAGTAATGAATCTCAAAGGCTAAAAATTCATAGAATTTGCAATGAGCTGCCAGGATACCGATGTATGATTGATTTATTTATCAGAATGTGGAGGAGTATTGACGAGTTCAACCGGAACCATCATGAGTYCAAACTTTCCTAATTATTACCCTGATAACACCGATTGTATCTGGACCATTCAAGGACCTCCGGGAACAATAAAAATTGAACTTGAATTCCTTCATTTCGATGTCCAGTGGGGAATGTCTTGCGAGTAAGTAGTCAACGCTGTATTGCAAAACAAGCCTGCAAGTAGATTTTCTTTTGAAAGTGTGTGATAATAACTCTATAAGACTTGTGCTACAATTTTGAGAAAGTTCCATTACTCTTTTTTGGTGTCGAATGCATCAAAGAATCACGAGCCACAGGCGAGCAAAAAACTGAACGTCTTAATTGAAAAGCTTGCACTGAATTTATGTTTCAATGTTTCAACAATGTCGGCTCAGGACCACAATTAATAGTTAAAATTTAATGATGATTCTATAAACATGAACCAAATAGTTCTTTCCTTACTCCTATTTTCCTTTTCTTTTGACACATTAGTTACGTGTGTTCAATTTCATTTTTTTTTTTTTTTTATAATATTTTAGATGGGATTACATGACAATTAAAGACAACGAAGGAAAGATAATTCGTAACAACATGTGCGGTAAAAAGTACACCCCATTAACAATCACAATACCTGGAAATTTAGCAACCATTACTTTCCATTCTGATAACGAATATAACGAAAAAGGATTTAAAGCCAACTTCAAGGCTATCACTCCACCACCCAAAGCACTGCCTGGTAATTACAAACAAATTGGTTTCTGATACTTCTTATTGATTACATGTGATGATTTTGCACTGCCTGTTAAATAGAAAACTTCTGATTTATTGCATAATAGGTAAATGACTTTCAGCGTAGTATCGGTTCCATTCTTATAGTCCATTCTTTTTTACAGGAAGCTGCAACTTTGACCAGGGCATGTGTTCAGGAATATCGAATGTTGATAACAAAGTTGATAACTTTGACTGGACGGTACACAGTGGACCAACACCCACAGGGTATCTGCTAACTGGACCCAAAGCAGACCACACGACAGGAAAAGGTATTAAAACAACAATTAATTATCACAAACAAATTGAAACCATCCTGATGTACCATAATATTTTCCTGCTTCAGGCAAGTACGTATACATCGAGTCAACTGGTCGTTCTAAAGGAGACAAAGCRCAGCTAGAAACACAAGTCATGTCGGGTACTAGATGTTTGAAGTTCTTCTACCACATGTTTGGTACTATTGGTATGGGGAGTCTTAAGGTATACGTCGTCACTGACAACAACAAGAAACTGGTAAAGAGTTTGAGTGGTAACCAGGGCAACGAGTGGAAGGCGGAGGAAATGCAGATAACAGAGCAAAAACCTTATAAGGTAACTCTTTAGAGAGGGCGAGATATATTGGATATTCGTTGATCAGCACTWTCCATGTCAGTGAAGTTAGAGAGAGTTTTGACTGCACACAAGCAATATACTAAATGGTGTTGAACTTCTAAATGTTTTCTTCGTCGATATTCAACCTTGATAAGTTATAGTAACTCACACTATATTGTCTTAGGTTGTATTTGAGGGCATTGTAGGTGTTTATGATKACTCTGACATAGCCCTGGACGATATCTTATTTTCTGACTCAACATGCGTTATGAAAAAAGGTAAAACCATAACTATGTTACCAGCCTTGTCTTCTCCTCTACCGATAATTAAAGTATGTTTTCCATCAAATGTGGTAAAGTCATTCTTTAATCTAGATAGTCCTTATTTTGTCTCGTTTTTGTAGCCGCTGCTAATTTATGTCATGGAAATGATCGAGTTGCTCGTCCAGGTCTTTCACAACATCCCCAGCTCTAGCCCTCCTTTCTTATCAACAGCTGATTGGAACCATCTTCGTATAATTGAAGCAGCTTGTAGTGTATATTTGACAGTGTATTTACTGTATTTGTCTTATAGAATGTGAAGATATCCTGACTACACCCATGGGTTCGTTTGATAGTCCAGGTTACCCAGGAGACTATAAAGATAATCTACGGTGTAAATGGACCATTAGACCAAATAAAAAAGACACTTCTCTCATCGTCGTCAAGTTCCTTAGTTTTGACGTTGAACAGCGATTTGCAGTGTGCAAGTATGAATGACATGATTATAACGTTTATGTTTACGACATTGTGATTACGATTAAAGATATGCTTACGATGAAAAATGCCCATCATTTATGGCTCAGAATTCATCAGTRCACAACTAACTATTCATGCTTGCCTCTTTAGCGATGACTACGTCAAAGTAACCGATTCTAAAGGTCAAGTTGTTCATCAATCTCGGTTTTGTGGTTTCTATCCATTTGGTTTTGGTGTCAAGGTATTTGACAAGGAAGCAGTGGTTCATTTCTATACCAATCGTCATTTTGCCAAGAAGGGATTCCAAGCAGTGTACGAAGCCAAAACATCAACACCACTAGGTACGTCATCATTTTACGTCATTATTCAAATATACGTCATGAGTAACCTCGATGTTGCCTGTGATCGGTATAGTGCATGTCTGAAACGATGGGTTAATTTTAGTATTATGATCGATAAAACCATGGTAATGATGGCATAGTTGCTGTTTATAGATTGTGACTTTGACCAAGGAATGTGCAAAATGGGTTGGTCAAATGATGACAGCGCTGATTTCAAGTGGTCAATTGGTAAGGGCAGTACACCAAGTTTTTTTACTGGTCCAGAAGCCGATTTTTATAGAATTGGTAAGTGGAAAACCTTTATAGATGGTTGCAAGTTTAACTTACACTCACGCAAACTGCACTAGTTAAAATACTAAAGTCAATTGTCCTAATAATCAGAAATGTGCAAATTGGAAAATTTCCTGTTAACGTCCAGTTCACTGCCTTGATTTCCAGGAAAATACGCCTATATCGAAGCCAGCGATCGACAGTTCCTGAACAAAGCAGTCTTATGGAGCCCACCTTTAGCTGGTCCCCAGTGCTTGACTTTTCACTACAACATGAACGGTCAAAAGATGGGCTCCCTGTGTATCTCTACACATGATGGCAAGGGGGGAAGAAAAGAAGTGTGGAGGACCGCAGGGCATCATGGTCATGGCAGATACTGGTTGAAAAAAAGTATTAATTTAGATGGTCAGTCGGCTTACAGGGTAAAGTAACTCTTCTATAATTTTCAATATCAGTGAAACATCCTAATAATGGATGCCATAGTAATAAGTATTCATTGTTTGATGCTATTTTTGTTTTTGAATTTCCTGGAAATGCAGATATCTTTTGAAGGAACTGTTGGAAGAAGTTTCACCAGTGATATCGCTTTRGACGAGATCTCTTTCACCAGTGGACGTTGCCCATCGACATCTGGTAAATCATGATTTTTCAATTTAGTCCAGTAAAACAGCATGCAATAATCGATCTTCTTATATTTTTTTGCAGAATGTAACCACATATTGACTGGAACGGGTGGAACCATTCAAAGTCCAAACTACCCCGCACCCTACCCCTCTGGTGCTGAGTGTATATGGACCATCATTCCCCCTCCACGGTACCATAACATCAACATTACATTCGTAGATGTTGATATGGAAGACAGTGCAACGTGCAGGTACAGTCATCTCTCAAATATTTGTATTAATAGTAGTGGTTTTCTGTAATCTCCGTTCACGTCACTAATAAAGTGCGACATAAAATGACACAACGCCAGTAGTARTACTTTGTATGTTTCATATATGACCGAAGACCCCTATCAATGATGCAGCCTATGGATCTGCTAAATTAAGCACTGTGTTAACAAATTAACCAATTGATAAATCTTTGTTATCTTTTACAGCAAAGACTATATTATAGTGAGAGATGTTTCAGGACCAATAGGAACTCAAATTGGAGAAAAAATATGTGGGAAACCAAAGACACCTATAACAGTCCCAGTCCAATGGCAACAAGCAAAAGTACAATTCTACAGTGATAGCAGCATCGAGGGAAAAGGATTTCAAGCAACGTATCTGGGCATTGATCTTCTACCAGGTATTAACATCTAAATAAAACCAAGTCCTTAAATAGTAATTAATCCAGAAATAATGGATTATAAATTAAGTCCCTATTTTACTTGTTTTCAGTTTGTGGTGGGCGGTTGTCAGGCAACAGTGGTACAATCCAAAGTCCAAACTATCCAAACAATGCTCCAGAAAGAATTGTAAGTGATTAAGCATTGGTGCAGGCTCTCCCTTTCCAGTTAGCTTCCCCCTTCCCACCAGTCTCTCACACAGTTCTCYTATACACACTCCCACACAGGCCTCCCACACATGCAGTAAAGAAGACGAAAGGCAACATGGAATCCGCTCCTCCCTTGTAGTCGAACTTAATATATTTTTTTTTCAATTGAATACGTTTTTATACTTTCAGAGATGTGAATGGGAGATCACCACCTCTCCAACAGTCAAGGAAATTATCATCACATTCGACAACAACTTTTTTATTGMCGACACGAGTTGCTACAGTGACTACGTAGTGGTTTACAACGCTCAGCACGGTAGACAGACGAGCAAGGTGTGCGGCAGGTATGCACCATGGCCGATCCGTGTCAAGGGTAATGCTGCCAACATTCGATTTGAGACATCGTATATTAAAGGCCTGGATCGTAGATTCAAAGCTAGCTACACTACTGTAGTGTAAGCCAATACATATTGAAATAAAGAAATTTTAAACACTGATTTGTTATGTTTTGGAATGTACAATGTTCAGCTAAGCTCTTTTTCTTTATTTGAACTGATGAGAGTAAAATGAATGAAAACTGAATTTTAAAAAAAATTACAAACAAAAAATACAGTTTTATGTTTTAATGATCAGACATGTATAATTTTAACAGCTTACATCAGAATTATATCTTGACATGGCTAATAGTATGTACCTATCCCTATAAATCACCCAATAGACTATTCCAAGAAAAACCAGACATCACATCATCTTTTTCCAATATTTTCTTATTACTTTACAACTAAAATTTTGAGACTGTGAATATTTTCTATAATGAGGATCTTTCCTGCCCGTTAATTCATACACTATAGTTAAAAAAAATGTCGATTCCTAACTTTTCATTATATCAAAAACAAGCGCAGTGCCTTTCTGAAAAAAAAAACTTTCAAAATTTATGTCGACTTCATGAGGAAAACGTCTTGAGATCTACATTTTCACTTATTGAATACAAAAAAGGAGCCGGACTAGAAGGCTTGAAATTGCTGAAATCTCAACAATGAAATACAACCTATTGTAAAGATTTTTTTACAGCACTAGAAACAAATAAATAATTATTTGTGCAAAATAAGACTAATAGTTTCCAAAATACTTGGTCAATTTAAGGTGTATCAAAATCCTGTCAATTGTTATTACATTTAAATGCTGTGAGAAGTCACAAGTGTACATGCGACGAATAATAAATAATTATCTTTTAACAATTACTTCAAAACGAATAATAATAACAAAAATACAAATGCTCATTCTGTGGGAATGAATTTGACAATATTACATAAAGGAATGAAAACAGAAAATGTGGACAAGCTGTCTGTCTTGATTGATAAATGGACAATATTATAATCCAAACARCTGTCAGTCTTGTTGGTCTTCCAGTGTTCTGCTTGACTTGTTTGCCACATTTTGTCTGTCTGTCTGTCTTCGTGTTTTTCCATTGCAAGCATGCATCAATCAGTAACACATTTTACCAAATAGAAAATCGTTAAGATGCAGGATAATTCAATACGTCTAGACTATGGAATCATGCTTTTTCTCCAGATGATGTCGCAGCTGCTGATGGTCGCAAACGAACTTGGCCCTTATCAACTGCATCATCAGTGGAACTATAGCTGAACTCAACACGTCCATCGGTTCTACAAATCAACAGAACATGATCTTTAATGTACTTAAAACTTCAAATATAATATAATAATATAAATAGAATGGGTTGTCATAAAAACATCATAAACATTCCTTTTGTTCTTATCAGTAAATCAATGATGTCCCCTCCCACCCCTCCCTCATGGAATTCTCATTATGGTTATTTAGACAAAATGGCATTATGAATGACACACATTGGCTCCCCTCCCTCCCTTCATTAGAGCAAAAAGTAAAAGCAAATAAACAAGCAGAGACAGTGACAATAAACTTTGATCTGTCAAAGCATATTTGAGCTTAAAGAAATGYACAAACATTGTYTGTTTGCTWTAGTTTTTGCCCTGTATCTATAAAYATACCAAAATGATTACTAGTACATGTAAACTTACTTGGTAGCTGTGTGTCCACATGGAGAGCATCATGAGTAAGAGAAAAAAAGTGGAAAATACATGAGGATGAAGTGATCAAATGAATGCATGTAAAATTGCAGTGATTTTTGTAATATAAAAAGAAGTTATCTACTAGAGTCATGACAGACAATTCACTGCAGCTCTATTTAGGGAACAAAAACAAGGGATTCTAGTTCCTGTATGATCAAAAGTCTTGTTTTAATGTCCCTCAGAAGAAGCTGCTAGGAGGTCACATCTATATTACATCTACATCAAATGCATTGTTTAATAAATTAAATTATAAATTAAATACAAATGAAAATTGAATGCTGGCAATGAAACAACAGCCATGTTTATGGTATAAACAATATGCACACACTATAGAAATATCTTTTACTAAATTACCACCAACAGTTCTATTATCTTTGCAGGTAAACAAGGATAAGCATTTGTATAAGGGAATGTATGTACATGTAGCATACATTGATATTATAGTTTCATTGCCAAAATTTTGTGAAATAAAGCATGAAATAAAAGAACTAGAAAGGGTCCAAGAATCACTTAAAAATGCTTTAAATGGCAATATTCTTGAGCGAGATGGTAAGTGCACTTTATTTCTTTTTGGCAATGAAACTAGAATATCAATGTAATTTCCTTATACAAATGCTTAGCCTGGGTTACGTGTGGTATCTTTATTTCTTTTACTTACATTCAGTCTTCTTCTTCTTGAATTTCTCAGCAAGTACAATGATAATAACAAGAAGAATGACCTCAATAATAATACCAATAACAGGCCACAGAGCACCAAGAGGATCTGGAAATATTTGCACAATACAAGTAGAAGATTAAAATCATTTGAAAATACATTTCGTTTTTTTCTCAACAATACCTTTAACTCTTAATGTAAACTTCTGACATCCCTCAACATCATCTTGTTCTTTGGTGTTGTTAGCAGTCTCTGATTCTTGAATACAACAGTAGTAAAAACCACGGTCACCATAACCAACATCACTAATGGTCAAGGAATGATCCTCCATCTTATCCAGATTAGACAGGGAATATCTTGAATTCCAGTTTTCTAAAGATAACACATTAACAAATAAATAAATGCAAAGACAATTTTGGTGGTTGAAAATGCTTTGTATTACAGTAATACAAGCTTCAAGGTTTTGAGATTTCAAATTTTAATTTTAATGCTTCATATTAGCTAAAAAGTTTAAGGTAAAATATTCTGCAATTTCAGTGTCTTCTTCTATTCTATGAATCACTGAAACAAAAGATTTTTTTTTCAGGTGCATTAATGCTTTGAACTAAAATTTCACAAACCTCCTTCTTTCAACATATTTGCAGATTTCTCACTCTTAAGTTTCCTTTTCCAAAAGGTATTGAGTGGATTTCCTTTAGCAGAACACTCAAACGTTGCAGATTTACCCTTGAAAACCTTAACTTCATTGTCCATAAGATCTTTGAAAAATTTAGGTTTTACTGAAAGACAAACAATGAAACAAATTAGTTATAAAATAATATCACAACAAGAATTCAAAACATTGATAATTGTACATTGTACATGTATTCAATTCTGTAGAAAACACAATTGTACATTTGAAACCTAACAGAACATGTAATGTATAAAATAAGCAAACCAGCAAGCTAAACAATAAAGGAGTCTACACGTAAATAAGCAATCACACAAGAAAAGGCACAAAAAATCATGCAAGCAATAAAACAAACAGGAGAGAACAAACCTGTGATGTGGATGCTATCTGTGATATTATAGTCTAAGCTGTCTCTCAACCTAGAAATCAAATGACATGAATACAGTCCACCATCGCTTGGATCAGACACTTTGAATTTCCTGGACTTCAGTGTCTGTTCTTTGGGATAAAGAACTTCGTCAATGACTTGACCACCTTTGATCCACATCAACTTGCGTAGTTTAGTTGTATCAACATCCATTTTTAATGTGAGATTACAGCTTAAGATGATCTCTGTGCCAAATTGAACTGTTTTGTTCTCAGATACTGCTATGCCTGGAAGTTCATTTCCTGTAATAAACAAATTAAAAGGTTTAAACGTCTTGATACAATTCACCCCTGTTGCTTATGAATCAGTAAATATGAATTTGTCAGGATATAGAGCAATATGTAGAAATTATGATCTTTTTGACTCATATTTCAAGTATAATATAAAATATGTCGGAAACTAATGGCAACTTCAAAAAATTTCAGCAATGACATCCCATAATTTCTGATATATTTTATACTTGGAATATCATAATTTCTGCATATTGCTGTAWSTACATACAGCATTAAATAACAGCATTTACTTACTATTTATAACATTAATTGTAAATCCATAGGCATCCTTTTGATTACCACTATATCCAATACACTCGTATCCACCAAAATCTGAACTATCTTTCAGTGTGACATTATTGATAACTAATGTTGATGTCAATATCTGTCCACCATCTACAAAAACAACAACAACATTCAGGTCGACTWGTAAACACAGGAAGATAAATGTGCAGCTATGATGAAGTTTCACTAAAGTTTTAGCTTACAAAAAGTCGAAACACAATTTGGCTAATCAAACTGAAATTATGACAGGGTTAAACATCACTTGTTTATTGCCCTAGGCATATTAATCAGATCGTTTAAACTAGTTAGTTTCACAGTACAAAATATACGTATTTTACCAATCAATTTGTTTTGTTTTACAGTAACACAATGGTGAACATAGCTGTAGTTTAAAATCCTATTTAGAATAAAAATAAACATGTACTGTGAAACCACAGAGTACTCTTGCTAACTAAAAAAAATAAACTGTTCTACCAATACACTATGTAAAAACCTAAAACATTATTGTGAGTTTTAACATTTCAGGATACTTACCCTCAGTTTTGTTCTTGTATTGTATACGTCCTCCTATTCCTTCATCGTAAATCACATCTATATCCCCAAACTTACTAGTTCGCACAAAGTTTATTTTAGTGGGCTTGTTTACTGTATCCTTAACAGTGCAGCCTACTTCAGCTCTTCCAAACTGAATCGCATAAATATTTGTTGGCAACGGTGCGATAATCGCAGGTTTACCTAGCAAATGAAATCCAAAAATATTAATTACTATTCATTCCAACTGAATAACTGTCCAATCTACAAGTCTTTATGTCAGTGTTAAACAATTTCCTAGTTTGTATTCTAATAATACATTGTCAACAATATTTTGTTTTTGCATTGCACAAAAATCCAGAATTTTGGACACAAACAAATAAGTGAATGACTGTGCAACTTTTGTAAAAGTAGACACTATTTGGGTTACAACACCTTTTCAGCCTAAATATGAGTTTGTATGTACATGTGTTTTTTTAATATGAGTTTGTATGTACATGTATAGTCAGACTGCACATTATTTCGAATATTCTAATATCACATAATCCTTGTATTGTTTCATTATTTAAAGTTAAAAGTGCAAAGAAATTAAAATTCAAAAATTAGAATGGAAATATTTAACAATTTGAGCACAAGATCAAGTGGACTAAGAGTTGGTATTTGGCCTTACATGTACAATATGGACTTTCAACTCATAGTCCATGCGATCAAGTTTTATTATTTTGAGGAAGGAACATTAAAACAACTTTTTTGGACATTTTTTACACATTATTTTTACATCACAGAATGGGACCATATTCTATAGACCATAGTTTACTGGCCAATCACAATGCTGAATTTGTGATGGTCCACAATTTGGTGGATATTTCAATCAAATACTTTATCATTAAAAAGGAAAGAACCACCTGACAGATTAAAATGTTCTTGTTTTGTTGGCAAGATTACAATGTAGGAATAGCATAATTGATTCAAAACAGCTACTTTGACTTTATAAAAGACTATAAATTTTACAACACACACAGAATTCACAAAAATTCATGAACGATTTCGATCTAGGAGTGTTCCAATGTATACAGTAGCTACATAATGCTAGACTGTTGAAACAAATAATAAAGGCTATGTTATGTTAACTCAAATATTTCTACTTAAAGTGGCACACTTAGACAAAGAATGCAAAAACCATATGCCAGATACAGAAATATGTTATCGTGCTGTCCTTCATTTGCATAAGAGCGAAAACTGTTGGTTTTTGCAAGATTCGAAAAGATTGAAGCTGAAGATAAATTTTGAAATCGAGTGGAATAGATAAGCGAGAGTTGAACGAGTATCGATSTTAAAACATCTAAAGAGCTTTATGAAATACAAAACGAGTTTGCTGATCTCCTCATTAGACTTCTATAGGCAAAACATTKATATTCATTTGCAGAAATTCGTAGCAAATGGAAAGTTAATTCGGCATGTTGTTTGTCACAAGATCGAGACGATCTTTGAGCGACTTYTCGCATCTAAAACAAGATTTTCGCCCAAAAACGATCTCGAACTCAGATATACCATTAACTAAATATATATTKTAGTTACCTTGAACGGGTGATATCGAGGAAACAGCTAATAAGCAAAGAATAGCGACACAGATTGCTGTACTCAACATTTTTGTTTTGTGAAAGAAACCCACACCTTACAGAGCCTCGTTCGCATGACTAGTCACCAGTCTGTCACCTTTGAAAAGACTATTACATACACAGGTAGTCCATCTATTGACTGATAYGTTTGATTTTATTTTGGTCGTTAATTGGAGGTGGTCGATTTATTAGAGCTGGTCGATTTATCCTCCCCACCCTGCCTGTTCTGTGACATTCCTCTCATGTCAATCTAACTGACATTAGTTTAGTAAATATTTGACAAAACGTAGAAGACGAACTAAAATGATTTACACAAGATGTGCCTTTATTTGCATTTCTTCTATGACATGCTCAGCATTTGCCAAAATACATCAAAGACATTTTTGAGGCATAACATTTAAAATTACTGGCATCAAAAACACAACAACAACTAATACTACAAATACTGAACCAGGACGACAACAACAACAACAACAACAACAACAACAACAACAACAAAATCAAAGGCAGTATGAAGCACAATTGTTGCTTCATAATTGGAAAAACATCATAGCAAGTAAATATTAGTACTCAGTCGCACTAAACTAAACTCGCTCGCTGTATTGTTCAGCGTTTTTAATGGTTTTGCGTTGATCTCAACTTTTACTGAAATCTCCATTCAGTGCAGTGAAGACATACATTTAGAGCCGCAGATTTCATAAGGACGAAAATCTTAGAAAAGACAAACATTGTGTTGTCAATCATCAATCAATCTTGCTTACGGGCAAAATGTCAATGTGTAAAGACAGGTATTCAGTTTATCGAGATAGGGTTTTTATTTCTAATTCAGGAATTGTGCCGACCTTGAGGTTATGTGATTGTCCTTCATGTTAAAAAGTACAACCGTACACAGGACGTAGCGAGCAATAAAGTGCGTTYCACGGGTTAATAAAACCACTCTATTTTTAGCGATATCAAGTTTTGGCAGATCGTCCTATTGTCTATTGTATCTCTGTTTTGTTATTGGTCAATCGATGATAGATAACAAAAGACTTGACGTTTAGTTCTATGTTTTCGATGTTGCTATTATCTGTGCAGTGTTTTGTTGAGATAGTCGATCACAAAGGACTGCTGCAATAACGACATGAATCAGGTCTCAGTTTTTGTTTTCCTGGTTATTTTAACCGCAGTTTCAGGTAGGTTTTCTTACATTTTATGTTTAGATGCAGAGTTGTTCGCATTATCTGTCTATATTTTCACCTTTGAAAGGTGGAGCAAATGTCTTGAAACAAGCGAAGCCAGTTACAAGGAATACCAAGAAAGAAAACTTTTTTATTTATGCAATTACCTTGACCGGGTTGATACAAAACTAGAAATAGCAGAGAACCTTAACAAACCGAAATACTATTAAAATATCGGCTATATTTTGGTATAAAATCCCAGTGCTTTCCTCCTTAATCTATAACGTACTTTGTTTCTTTTCTGAAGAAAAAGGCTTTTAAACCAATACAGCTTTTGTTTTTACGTCATGATCTGTGTACGAACACCAAACCTGAAATGCGCACGCGTGATCAGGTGTATTGCCACAGAAACAATCTAAAAACTCTGACTTACCAAACACAATGTCGCACTACGTGAAAACACGAAACTGGATTAACGTTAACTTGTCAAATAATCTCCAAAAAATATGATTAGAAACCATTCAGGGATGGTCTCACGAAGAAGGGGATGTGTTAGCATACCTCAAGGGAACTTCCCGCTGGTACTGCACTGAAAAAACAATAGAAATCCCGAAATATTGCATCTTGACATTTCCTCATACACTAGATCATGTCACGCAAACTAAGTGACAATCATGTCACGCAAACTAAGTGACAATCATGTCACGCAAACTAAGTGACGAAACTTATCGACAAAGATTAGCGATTGGCCCTGGAGACAACTCCCCCCTGCATTAGACAAAAGCGTAGTTAAAAAACGGGTGAAGTTCAGCCGCTCGTAATTTTTCAATCAGTGTATCTCTTTGTTTGTTCTTGTGGCTAGCATAAAATGACATCATGATAGTCCTGGGGAACCTGTTCTAGGTAAATATAGTTAGCCGAATGAAACTGAATATTATGGAACAGTATCAGGAGAAAAGATATTTGATATGTTCTTGGTACATGAATAAACATGTCGGGTTATCACAAAATACGGCTTTGCTGTGCATCGATCATCGATATCGTTTTGTTCAAACAATACTTGACCTTGAAATGTATGTCAAGATACGAATGAAAATAATTAAAAAAATAAATGAATTTAATCAAAGAGCAGCATTCCATGTCTAGATCTGTCTGTTTTATTGCCTCACGCTGTTATTGTACGTTAAGTTGCTGTTATTGTCGTCGTCGTCGTCGTCGTTGTTGTTGTGCGTTAGGTTGTCGTTGTTGCTTTTGTTGTTGCTGTGCGTTTAGTTGTGAGATGTTATTGTTGTCGTGCGATTTACAACTTAAAAGTTGTTGTTATCGTTGTTGTTGTGGGTTAAGTTGTCGTTGTTGTTTTTGTACGTTACGTTGTGGTTGTTGTTACTGTTGTTGTTGTTGTTGTTTTACGTTAAGTTGTTATTGATGTTGTTGTACGTTAAGTTGTTATTGTTGTTGTTGCTGTTGTTGTACGTTGAGTTAGTATTAGTGTTATTGYTGTTCCAAAGCACGTTTGAAGTTGTAAAATGGTCAAGATAGAGTGGATTTCGTATGAGTGGGACATCGTTACCGCACGGTTACCGCACAGTTACCGGACCTGGCCTGCACAATTTTGGTGAACCAATGGGGTACTAGAATTTGGTTACAGTACGATTACGGTCACAGTACAGTACCGTCCGTTTCCCACTCATACGAAATCCGCTCTATGAGATGTGAAATGTCATTGAACTGTCTCGATTTCTCCTTGTTATTGAGTCAATTATTAACTATCGTTTTGTATGGCATGTGTTTATAGCATCTTTGACACTGGTCGCTCCGTCTCCTATGGTCTTAGTCGAGGGAGATACGAAGACATTCAGTTGTAAAGCAACAGATCCATCTATTTATCCTAACATCACGTACAATAGGAATGTTCAAGTCAAAGCAGATCAACGCATTGAAATAACTAGCTCTATGTATAACGACACTGAAAAAGGTATTTTCACTCCTCCCGACCATTCATTCATGCAGTCATCCATTCATTTGTCCCTTTTTACGTTTATTTGATTTTGTTATTCATGCATTTATATTAATTTCCATTCATGTCATTTTATAGTCGGTTCTTTCATCCAATCATTTACTTCCTCATTTCCCAACCATTCATCTATTCATTCAGGCCTGTTGACAACAACAACTGTATTAAAAATAAAGAATGTCATAACTGACGATGATGAGGCCAAAGGACAATGGAAATGCATTGCTTCGACCGGCGTCRATRAAGAGAATGTTGGCTTCAACGTATATGTTATTTCAAGTAAGTTGTCTTTTCAAATATATCAACGACTATACACCTGATTAATTAAGGAATTGGCAATGTTTGTAATGTTTTTGTTTCTAGAAAACCAAATATTGATCGTTTTCAACCATTACCATTAGATTCAAAAGATAAGRCCGGCGGCCATGTTGGAGCCAATGAACGATAGATACCCATTGAATGAGAAATCCTTTGTTAAAATTCCTCCTAGTTGGGCGCTTTAACGTATAGTGAAACGAAGATGAATTTTGTCTCGTTTTGCAGTTTGTAGTACGATCGAAAATAACATCAAAATTCATGCTTGTGCTTACAACGATGTCTTACTTCAATCTTTTGTGTTTCCTTTGTTCTCTGCTTACGTTTACGTCTAAATCTAGACGTAAACGTAAAATTAATTTCTTACAGTACATGCTATCCGTACTTGACTTTATATTTGTTCACAACAGAGAAAGACTTACCCAAGGCAGTCATACATGGTGGTGGAACTATCAATTATGGCAATCCAGCCAAACTTACCTGCGACGTCACCGACGGTAATGCGGATTTGGCCCCGTTAGGGGGACTAGCATGGATGAAAGACAACGTCATAATAAGAAATGGAACCTCGGCAACTGTTCTAGAACCTTTGATCATCAACCACGCGTCTACTCGTGATGGTGGTGAATATAAATGTGTTGGAGTTGCAAAACTCAAAAAGGTTGTGCCAAGACCGCTCTTGTTGAACAAGACAACAGTTTACAGTAAGAGCCTTCAGTCAGTCCTGCAATATAAAAAAGGATTTTTGATTAATTTAAATATAAATATGTCATGAAGATAATTTACGATTAGTTAATGCCCATGTGAATCCAAGAAATTTTGCGCGATTTTCTCACATATGAAAATYCGATTTAATCTTTGATTTTGAACAATCAGAAAGCACACGTTTCAGCAAGAGATCAATTGTAAATCAAAAGAAACGGTAGCAAAGGCATTTGTCCGTTAAGGGTCTACAACTACTGTATCTCGTAGTTTGAATGTTTTGGTCATAACTAGCTCCTTACAGTTTATTTTAGAAGAAGGGCAATCACGAGAAAATGTGGCTTACACATTAACTCAAATGTGAATCTTGGCAAACCGACATAGGTGCTTTATCCACCTTCAAGCCCTGATATATCATGTCTATGCGCATGCTCATTTACAGCTTTACATTGCTCGCTAATAATAATGATTTTTATTCGTCTTGAATCATTCTATGAAGTTATCATATACCACATGGATGCAATTTTTGTGCATTCAATCAAAATGTTCAAGAAAACTCGTAATTTTGTAATTATTTCAGTTCAACTTAAGGTAGACAATGGCACAACAGAAGTGAAGGGAGGTGAGGCAAGTAACATTACGATGGACTGCCCTGCTTATGGCTACCCTCTGAACGTGACATGGTTGAAAATCGATCAAGAAGGACAACAAAAACAACTTGGTAAGACTTGGTTTTTGAATGACAGCATGTTTTGTTTCACGGATCACGACGTGGTCAAGGATTACAGAGTCTCACCTGGCGCTAAGACCACTTGAGAAATACCGCAATCTTTGAACACTTATCCAAATCAAMTGAACGGAACATGATTGCGATTATATTGATGATTACAATGATGATGATAATAATATGTATTAMTAATAACAAAATGATGGCTAATGGTGACATGATGTACTAGTATTAGTTTCATGCTACAATTGTAGAATCATGTATATCATTTTTCATATTATTGAAGTAAGACTATTTTAGGTACTATTTTAGGTAAAAGAGACCAGACTTTATTTTTGAATCGACATTGTTTTCATAGATTTTTTCCCTTTTTTTCAGTGAACAACGAGCGATATGTCATGTCAAGACCCTGCCCTGCATGTCAATACAGATTGACGATCAAAAACCTACAACCTGGTGATGTTGGTCAATATATTTGTAAAGCAACACAAAACATGGAAACAGCAATGCATTCCTTCAAACTTTCTCTTAGTAAGTGAAGAAATTACCAGCCCACTTTTTTYAAAAAAAAAAAAAAAAAGATTCTAGATTACTTCCGGGTATGCAAGRAAAGCGACTTTTTACCCAATGWAAGTCAATRCTTAAATTATCTTAAGATGTGGTGCGCATGACCCCCCTGGCATCTCCCCTGCTAGAAAGGAGCCCCCATAGATTGTGATCAATTTACTGACGGTATAAAGTATACACTTTTCTGAAAATATTGCAATGTATGTGCTTTATCTATGAATTTTTTTATGTATCACCAGAAGACCCAGACGAGAAGTCTACACAGCCYACACCTGGTACGTTAAGCAATATCTTCGTAGTTTTTTTAATGAGCGCGCGGTTCGTTTGTTTGATGATTTGTTTCTCGTATTTTTATCACTTGTTTTATATTTTTGTCTTGTAATAAGCTCACAACTGGTGCGTTTTTAATAACTGTTTCTAACGTTGTAATACWTAGTTAGTCCCAAAATACAGCGTGACGCTCTCGTCTGCTCAAAGACGAATTTAGGTTGGATGATAAGAGTAGCTAGCTATAAATAAATATAAATCATTGTGTGCACTTTGGGCGTTTACTCTATATTACAATATTGTACAATGGCATAAGACGTTTGTCTTGCTTCGCAGCTAATGTCTTTTCGTCTTTACAGATTCGTCGGGTGTAACCCACTATGCCCAGTCCTTCTTGGTGATTCTTACAGGCCTGGTTACATGGAAGCTGCAGTAAAAATGATATATTTACTATCCCTTCTCTTTGAAATATGTAATTTTTGAGAAGGGACAGGAGAGATGTGATATAATTTTGCTATCAACAATATAGACTGCAGTTCATTTCTACGCCCAAGGCAAATACATGTTTTTAATGTAGCTTTAGGTAAATATTCTATAAATTTGATACTTAGCAGGAGTGCTCAACGGACCACTTYCACCAATTTGCAAATTAAGATGTCTAGAACACTTGACTTAGCATCGGATGTGGTAGACCTATCAACACCATTACMYGYAGAGGCCTCTTTAGCACGAGMAACTCTACATAGTACGGGTAYGTTTGTTTGGTGGTCGTTTTGGGGGCCCTACTCCGATTAAACTTGATAGGATATGAAATATACTRCGACGATTGCRRGTTTTGATATACAGTACTTTAACAAAATTCATTTGCCTAACTAGAGTGGTTTTYCGCTTAATAAAGCTGCCATGTCGATAATTTCTTGTTTTCTTTTTTTTTCATACCCGATGTAAACATATGCAAATAAAAAGTTGAAAACTTTCTGTCGATTCATCGTTCTGGAATGTTTTTCATTAATTATTGATTTTTCAATATCAAATAAGACTACTGGGATGTGACGCCGAACCGACTCATTAAGAAGAGTTTTCTGAATAAAACCCTTCCTTTCTTTCATATTCCCTTCATAATGAAAGTCAATACTAAAGTATGAAAGTCTCGTCTCATTTCTGTCCCCACTATGAAGTATTTTTTATATCATTATTTATCCAAAAATGTTATTTGACGTCAAGGCTGCGTGATCACGCGTGACAAGGAATAGCGTGACTGTCACTTTGTTGTTGATCGATCGCTTGGTATCGATCAACGCCTCCATCAACATGAATCCTGTTCGCTTCACTTTCGCCGCTTTTTTCATCTGTTCTTTTCTCTATTTTACTCAAGTAGMAGGTAAGAAAATTATAACCATTTTTTAAGATATTTGTAGAGAAAATATAGCGTTTGYGGACGTAAAAAAGTATTCTTTCGGTTTGCATAAAAATCTTGTTATTTTGTTTACACGAGTACTCTAGGGATTGATGATTGCTATCGGCATATCTTATTAGCATGTAGAATAAGCATCAATCTATGTGTAAAGTAAATGTTTGGTAATGTTTCAATAGAAAAATGGGCATTTCTGATTGCAAATCAATAAAGTTGATATTYTTTACACCTGTGATGTGAAAATATCGCGTGTGCACACCCTATGAATCACTCAACTGAACAAAAACACAATAATCAATATTTTTCTTCATGTAAACTACTTTTGAACACAATGCTTTTGCTCGCAATAAAAGTTCTTTAAGTGCGACGAGTAAATAATTCTCAACAARGTATCTTTGATAACGAAATCAGAATCCATATTTGCCATTAGTTGGCTGATCGGTCGAGCATACAAAAAGAAAATTCTAGACTATCGGTTCAATCTTCATATTGTGATGTTCATAGCAAACACGACAGTATCAATTATTAATCATTATTATTATTATTAATCCAATATTTTTTCGAATAAAGTGATGTGGCTGCATGAAGTCAAATAAAACTTGGTGATAAACCCCCTAAAAAGTTAATTGCAATAAGGAATATTATTACATATGGGAATATAAGTCACTTTCTGGAATGCATGTCAAATAGTTTCAATTCTTTTCAAGCCTGTTAAGACCAATAAATGGCATCAATTATTGTGACGTCGTAAGATTTAAAGTTTGATAATAGTCACTATAATAGGTTTGAGTTACTGAATTAGGTAATATTATTAACGATACTACTTATATGATTATCTATATTGCAGGAGTGATTAACATAGTCCCACCATATCCTGCAAATCCAATTTTAATTGAGGGCGAATCAGCAGAACTTACTTGTATAGCTGAAGACGATCAAAATGTTACCAGACCTGTAAACATRACCTTCCKCAAGAAGATCAACATATATGGTGACACAGCACCAATACCAGACGGAGGAAACTATACTTTCAAAAGTAGAAATGAATGTAAGGTTAAGTAAGAATCGTTGTCATTGACCCCCTTCACCACACCTCTACCCCACATACAAACACACCCCTCCCACATACACAAACACCCCTACCCCACATACACACACACCCCTCCCACATACAAACACACCCCTCCCACATACACAAACACCACTACCCCACATACACACACACCCCTCCCACATACACACACACCCCTACCCCACATACACACACACCCCTCTTGCTGATAGAAGATTATGATCTCTTAAATATCTTTCATCAATACTTATGATCTTTTACAGCAAATGGTAGGCGACTGCTAGTAACAATGGTGATAAAAAAGATGATTGCAAATCTGGCTGGTGATTATACCTGTCGATCATGGCGCCCCAATGATGGCAGTGACCGTGCAGTAAGGCCAGCAGGTCATGACTTTCATGTCTTATACGTTGCACGTACGTATTAAATGTTTTGGGTTTTTATTGGTCATTAATACTGCAGTTGAGTTATTCATAATCTGTTTTTTATAAATTATATGGTATTTGGGTGTATAACAACCAAGATCCTAATGTGATAAACACATATTATACAACTTTTCAGTAAAATCAGACGTTTTGATTGGTTGGCTTTCGTGTGTTATCAAAGTATAGATACACGGATTACGTCAAAACTAATTGTTTGTTGTATAAAACAGATAGATCTCATTTTTCCGTGCGTGTGTACTCTAATAGATACACAGATGACGTCAAAATGTAGCGAGAACAACAGTCACGCACTCGACTGCATCTCGTGCGTACTTTTTTGTTCTCACTACATTTTGACGTCATCTGTGTATCTATTAGAGTACACACGCACGGAAAAATGAGATCTATTTGTTAATTAACCCATAAATATCATTCATATCAACTTTAATATTTAATATTATTAGATCTATTCAACCATTAGATTGATTGCAAGCCAGCTAATTCTCTTTTGTCCTTACTCAGAAAATAGTCTTCCCAGCCTGAACTATTCTAATAACGTGACTACTGAGTTTGGTAAGCCAGCAAGTTTGTTCTGCATGCTGGCATCAAAYGACAAAAGAGTGAGCAATGTGAAGTTGGACAAAATTGCCTGGTTTAAAAATAACATTTTCACTGGGAAAGAAGTRGCACAGTTGGAAGATAGACTCCCTAATATTGATCTCCAGATGAAAGATCCCACTGATGCTGGGAAATATACCTGTCGACTGTTCACAACCCTTTTTTCAACAAGAAAGTACAACATTTCTGGCACTATAACAGTTTCAAGTAAGATGTCTTTACAAGTTGTTTTGCCTATATCTATGCACTTACCACATCTGAAGTTTTCAATAAACTGTCTTCGAATACTATTTAAAAAGCCATTTTCATCTCCAATACAATCACTCATTTTTACAGTGAATTGTGAGAAGTCATATACGTCCGCCATCTTGTTTTTTGAGCGAGAAGGACTGGGAGAGGTTTATCACCACAGGATACCCAAGAACAACACTTTAAATTTTTTGATGATGATGATGATGATGATGATATGGATTAATGATATCAAAATAATCTATTAATACGACAGTCAAACCACGATTTCCGTCAATAACTGCAAACAGTGTTGGGGATGATGGTTATGAAATCACTCTGGATGAGAACGAAATCATCAGAAAAAAGGGTGAATCGGCCAAGTTCAACTGTATAGCAGAGGGAAATCCCATAACAATCACATGGAAAATGACACCGAAATCTGGAGAAACAAAAGTCCTAAACCAGACAGGTATACTACTGAAAATGAACCAGTTAAAGAGCCTATAATTATAAATTAATTTCTGGTCCCATTGACATGGTAATGTTTTTTCTTGCAGCTCTAGTAAATGATAGTTCATCGCACTACAAGTTTTCAAATGACGAGAAAAGGCTCAAGGGATTTTGGATGGAGATTCCTGAAACAAACTATGATGATCGTGGTGAATACAGATGCTGCTTTGACATTGATAATAAGCAGCAATGTCAGAAGTTTACTTTGAGGGTTAAAGGTATCTAACCTCACATCTTAATATTGAACTGATTGACTGATTGTTTGATTAATTGATCGATTGATGGAGGAACCCGAAAATGAC